ACACAAACGCTGCGCAGACACACACTCTCAGGGCTGTCCAGTAAATCAGGCAGCAGCCTCTGGATCACATCCAGAGCGAATGAGCTGAATTCTACTCCCCAAAATCACCCAGTGGCTTTGTTTATGTGTGTGTATGTGGGAGCAATATGTGTTTGGGGGTTTGAGTGCAGTGTTGTGTGAGCAGGTGATCCATGGGGGTTTAATCAGCTTTGGCTGTATGACAGAGATCCCTTTGGCAACCTTGAAGAGAAAGGAAGGCAGAGAACGATGAGGGTGAAAGATGCTTGCCTGGCTCCATTTTGTAAATGTAAAGGATCAAAGAGGCCTGTGGTCGCAGGCGTCTAACACCATTTCCTCCTCACCAGTCATTGCTCTCCCTTAATCCTCTGTCCCCTTTCTTCTCCATCTCCCTCTGCCATCTAAAAGAAGTAGACACCAGTATAAATCTGTACTCTGCATTCACTTAACCTGTCTGAATGCATCAGTGGAGATGATGACTGTGTTTGTGTATGTGTGCATGCACTCCTAAAGGTCGAGATGTCATTACGTATTTTTCCCTTGTGTTTCTGTTTTTACCTTGATGTTTGGTACAATGATCTCTGGGTCAGTACTGAAGAAATGAAAATAACCACCAATAAAAGTTTTTGCATCTGTAACATTTCTAGTAAAAAAGTTCAGAGCAACCATATCCCTGCACTCCTTTGCTTTTTTGTCCATATGGGCCACAAGGGGACTGATGGGAGGGTGATATATTTCCCATACAGGGACTCACAGAAGGAGGGGAAATGTAATGCAGGTTTTATGATGTTCAATTTGTGAAGAAAAGGATGCAGGTTAGTAAATAAAGCTGGATCTTTAAGTGCACACACCTTAACTCTGTTTGTAGAAAAGTTGGTAAATAGGGCTTTGCAAAATGTGAGAAGAAAGAAAGCAAAAGAGTATTATTCACTATTTATGTGAAGATGACATAATCACCTGTTGCCCCCACGAGCAGCCAACATCTGTGAAATGCATTAACTTTCTATCCCTCGCTCTCTTTTTCCATGCAGCTCACCACACATGCACAGACTCCATGTCATACAGGGATAGTATTGCTGCGGGTGAAGTGGGCATTTAGTTTTGATATTCACGCTGTTGTCAAAGTTAAGCAATTTAAGAAAAAGGCTCTCGAATGGAAAAGGTGGGACTGTGTGAACCATGTCTTAGGGCAATCCAGTAGTCAAGGTTTCACCTAAAACCACAAACATGAACCTCATGGCTTCAGAGAGAAAAGTCATGAAATCTCCGAAATCATGACGTTTCATCCTCTGGGAACCATGAATATCTGTGAAGGAGATCTCCAAAGTCTGTGAAATTCATCCTCTATGGACAATAAAAAGTAGGCACAATATTTCATGGCAATCCATCAAATAGTTGTTAAGATATTTCAGTCTAGATCAAAGTTGTGTATAGCCACGCAGATAGAGAACAGTTTTTATACCAACTGTCTGTTACACACAGAAATATGAACTCTTAAAGGGGACCTATCATGCAAAATGCACTTTTGTACGTCTTTTATACATGAATATGTGTCCCCGGTGTATCAGGGAACTCACCAAGTGTCAGAAAACACAACCCTCTCTCTTTTCCTCCATACCAAAATCTCTAAAAACAGGGCTGCAATGGAGCTGATACAGATTTGAATTTTTCTGACGTCAGAAAAGGGGTGCTCCGCCTATATGGGCAACTCTCCACCTATCAGGGGAATGGGGGGTTGGGCCACGGCCATTGCCGCTCGAAAGCGCTGGAGACGCTGTAGTACATATGCCAGGCCTGTAGGTGGCGCTGTAGTCTGCCACAAAAGCAGCGAAGAAGACTTCTCACAGAATCAGCCCTTGCAAAAACAGGGCTGGAAAAGAGCAAATAGAGCTAAATGAGGCATGGCTAAACTGCATGATCTGTTTGGTATTTTGAAAAAAAAACTTCACAGACATGTTTTATATAGGTATGGCCCTACAATATATTATTCAAATATAGCATGATAGGTCCACTTTAAGGTCAGAACACAAGAATTAGGTTAATCCAGTCTGTCAAAACCAACATGAGATTGATGTCTAACACCCCTTTACGCTCACTGGATTTGGATTTGATGTTTCATTCATATAAAAAAGCTCAAAACATCACTCTAGCTCAGACAAAGACCCATTGTTCTCATGCCCGATCATCATCATCAACAACATGAAATTAATCCTTGATCTAAATCCTCCTGCTGCCTACACATGTGCCCATTGAATGAGAGCCACACCCACATGTCCTTATTGTAATCACTCATATGCTTTTAAAACAGTTGATTGACTAAAAACTGCATGGGTTAATAGTGAAATATCCGTCTTCTTTTCATTTATTTGAAAGCTGCTCAGTTTTCACAATGTATCTAAATGAGTAAATGTAAATGAGTTATCCCTTCTGTAAAAATCATTCTGACTCAGCAGTGCGTGGTGTGTAAGCGGTAGAGGCATCTGTTTCTGTTCTTTTTTTACTAATTTAATTTATCCATCTCTTCATTTTAGTCATTGAGTTCAAGATGGAAACCATTTGAATCAGCATTAGTGATGTTGGCACTAAAGCTGAAACTGAAATGTTTCTTTTTCTTTCTTTCTTGCTCACTCGTTTTTGTTTTTTGTCCTGCAGTTGGTTTGTATTATGACTGCACATCTCATGTGTGTTAAAACCATACAAAAAGACACAGTTAACTGCCCATACTGTCTACTCCTTTTCCCCTTCAGGTAGTGCAGAACCTTTTTCAGAGTGCTCTCCTCTCCTCAGGCTCTCCTCTGGCCCAGCTGCCTCTCTGCTCTCTGGCCTGAGCTGCAGAGAAAGACCCTCAGAGCTCCAGGCATCCAGACGGCTCTCCTGGAGGTGCCACCCTCACCACAACCCAGCTCCATCTCTCTCTCCCTAACACACACTCACAACTTTCCAGCCAAACCAGAACCACCCACAGTAGCACTCTTGTTAATCCGTGATGCTTTTTATATCATGTGTGCCAGTGGGCCATTTCACTCAGGGCTTTTTGACTACAAGCACTGCATGGAAAGAAGTCTGTAAGTCGGCCTTGTTTTGGCTCGTCAGCTGAGAGCCACTCTATACACTTTTACACATACTGATTCTACTGCTACTGTGTTGAGTTAAATACAAACTGAAATTACTCTGACCCAATTCTAGCTGCTGCATTCTTGCTTGTGACAAACCTTTTGAAGACATATTCCTTTCAGAGAGTAATATTAACATTCAGTATATGGCATATGCACACATATGTTATCAATTAGTCGGTCTTCTTCTCAGAAAGCAAAGGTTTCCACAGCAATTACACTGGAATCTCTAACAAAGTGCAGTTGAGCAGAACAGGGTTAACTTGCTGTTGACGCTTACCAGCTGTAAAATTACACTTTATTTACATTCAATTGTATCAAAAATGTAGTCTAATTAGCTCACTGTTGCATATCAAATTTATTATTTTTCCATATTTGAAAAAACATTGTTGTGCGAATATGCGGTGGAAATCTCCAAACCTGACTGAGGAAAAACTACATTCTTTTTAATGTGACCACCAGGTATTTTTGAGTTTGTCCAAAGGGGTTTTGAAACAGTTTTATAAAGACCGAGGGTGAGGGAATTCTTCTGCCCTCAGAGGAGGACGTAATCCATCCAACTTGTGTAAAAATGTCAACATCACCATCATCGAAGCTTCAGGGATTTCACATGCCAACAGTAACTAGTATATTTTATAAGAAGTTTGGGCACTGAGATGAAGGAAACATCAGCTTCATTTAAAGGAATACATGAGAGTCAACAGTGCCAGTTGATGTACTGTGCAGTGTGTGATGATGGAGGACACACACCCAGCACACTGAGAGGTGCAGTACGCTGTAATGCCTTGGCCTCGCTGCAGGGCCTCATGCCAGCTCTGCTCTGTCTGCTGCCAAACAAGACCACAACATGGGCCTCTCTCTGCCTCAGCAGCAGGCCCTCCACTATTACAGCCTTGCATGGCTGACCCCAGGCCTACCAGCTGTTCACAGGCACCGTAAATCTCACTTTGGTGCTGTTGGTTTTTTTGTGACTGACCTCAGACCAGCTGAACTGTCACTGTCAATAAAAGACTTAACTTTACAGGACACTATGGGGAAGCTTGCATGCTACTATAATGATAGCATCAGTGTGATTGTCCAAAGAGATTGCCTTTTTACTCATTGAGCTTATAAAGCAAATACCAGTCATTCACTGATCCCAATCAGTTTCTTTTCCTCTTCTTTTTATTGTCACATTGGGAATAAAAATACATCTAATAGTTGTTGCCTGAGCATTTTAGAAGTTAACAATATGTTTATAAAGTGCTATTCTGAACATTGTTATGTGATAGCATATGAGGTGCTGTGCATGATAACAGTGTAGCTTTTGGTTTTTGAGAGGAAACTGATAATCACTTGAGAAGACAGACAGTGTCATTCAGGCTTTTCTCTTCTTGATTCAAACTCTCTGTGGTGGAGAAAATGACACTTCTTGTTTAGTGATAATCACAAACCGTGATGACACACAAACCAGTCTAGTGTCTGCCAGAGTGTGAGATCACACACACATCAGGGCCTTTGTTGTGTGTATTGCATGTGCCATTTTTGACAAGATGAACTACGGACGTGGAGAGGCCGCTGCAAATAAGATATTTTTCAGCTTCCATACTATGTAAAAGTAACTAAATCACAACATATATTTTTTACCATGTCAGAAAACAGACATACATATAAGGAACGTTTTTTTTAAAATTATATGCATAACCAATGCATACATTTCTTATTTGTGCAGTTTTTATATGTTCTTGTGTATGGGAATATAGAGGACTTTCCTCATACACAATAAACAAAGCAAACATTTACAACAACAATCCATAAAGCCAAACAAAACATATTCATATTCAAAACGTGTAGTCGAAGTGTGGGATCAATAGTCAAGACAAACCAAAGTTGTGTTCATATTGAGCTTTTTATTTGAAAGCACATGTATTAGAGCTAAGTACATTTAGCAGAAAAACAGCATTGCAACTATGTCTTTGTACAAAAAACGAGACAATACAAAAATACTAATATTGAATTTTAATACAATTGTGGGTGTATTTTTTGAATGCATATTACAAACATAACTATTACAATCTACAATAGTTGATAATTATCTAGATACAAAAGTCTGTCAATCGATGCTTTTTAAGCAGCATTTTGTAAATAACACAGGTCTGTAATCATAGTGGATATATCTAAACATGTTAAGAAACAATATCTTACAGTTAATTTTAGTGATCTATACATTATTTATATATTTATAAAAAGAGAGTGAAAACGGTTTTGTGAAATAATAGGACGGACTATACGATGAAAAAGATGTGCAACATGGCGGAGTGTGTTGTTGGAGGAGGATCTGAGTAGGCTGTAAATAAAAAGGGTTTCTGTATGTGTACTGTACAACGGTTAGTGATTATACAGGACATGCTAAAAACACACACGGTTAAAGATGCTTCTCAGCAGAGAATACAAATAATAGATCCACAGTTTTTAGAACGCTCACCTGCTCTCTGACACACAGTGGCAAACACATGCACACAGACACACACACAGACACACACTTGGCACAGCTGACAGTGTGTGTTTCATTTGACACACACTTAGTTTATCATGAGGGGGTTTGTTTTCACAGGGCAAATCGCTCATACCTATGTACACACACATTCACACACAAAAGATGTACATGTACAAGCACACCCACACAAACACAAGAGTCTATAGGACACACACATACCCACACACACATCGAGAGACAAACATCCATTGCCAATGAGTGATTGGGTGGGTGAGAGCCCCTCCCTTCCAGCAGAAAGAGCCCAAATCATCCCAAACAATGTGCCAGTTTAGCTGTAATTCATCACCCTCTTCGCATTGGTGACAGCCCGCACCCCTTCACTCTGCACCCATCCCCTTCCTGTTAAGGAAGCCAAACAGATGGCCCCAACACCAGAAAGTGGCATGGCACAGCCACGCCTCTTTTACAGGTGCTGGGAGGCTGTGAGATCTGCCTCCCTCCTTCCACAGAAAATATTCCCCCTTTACTACATCTAACTCTCAAGAAATGCAACATCCCGGGTTTGGGCCGCTCTAAGAGTCCTCTACAAAAAACTTGATGTGCTGATCTTGGGACAGTTGTGTTGGAGGGCTTCAGTTCCTAATGCTAAAACAAAGTTTATTCAGATAAGGATGTCTTGCTTATCAGAAAGATAAAAGGCAGTCAAATAACTGCTTTGAAACCTGTTAAAAAGATCGCTATATGACCCTTGCTATGCTAACTCTATCCTGGCTAAGCATGGTGAAACCACCACGCCGGGCTCTGTTGGATTCTAGGAGTCAATTCCTCAGTTTCATGTGCGTCAGCATCATCAAGTTCTTTTTCTCAGTGAGACATCTCAGGCAGCAAGTGGTGATAATGGACAATGGACTTAAAAACAGTGCTATAAGTTATATTTTTCTATACTGTTAATATTTCTATGCTGCTAGTTATTGCAGTAATATCCTTCCCATAGTTAAGGAAGTTGTTGTCATACGGCGTTCCAAGGCCACAGAGAGTTCAGAGAGGATGCATCACTGGAAATCCCTCTCTCCCTAGGCAGGGGGTTTGTCATTTTTTGTTTGTCTTTACTTCATTTGTTATTCTTCAAAAGTGTTTTCCCTTTATGTGGTTACACTTCCATCAACCCTCCACACCCTCAGCTCTGCCTGTCAATTTCTCAATTAAATGTGTCTTTTAGTCTTCCAAATCTTTTCTGTTTGTGCTCAAAACGATGGGCTCAAATGTTGATTAGTAGTTAACATAATAGTAAATAATGAGTCTGGATAGTGAGAGTGGACTCTGCTGTGCAAATCTCAAATCTGACACCCTTATCCACAAATTGCCTTGCTGGACACTGCAAAAGGGAGGAGGGTGTCGTTTGAGGAGCAGCTACAGTCTCTCATCGCTACATTCTACTGTCCAATGGGAAGAGCAGCGATGTGATTGGCTCCTCAGTAACAGGAAGAAGTCGCGGCCACTCTCACACCATGTTGTGGTGATTGTTCCTCTCAATGATGTCGGACGATTGGAGCAGCTCCTTCTTGATGGGGGAGGGCGGAGGCGTGGCGGGCTTCACTCTGGGCTTAAACAGGTCTGACACGTAGAACACCTGGTGGACACAGAGGGAGACAGGGTGAGGACAGGAAACAGAGACCACATGGGAATCATAACATAAGGAAGGATAAAAGTTTCCTCACTAAATAAAGATGGGATTTCTTAGCCAAAACTAAATATGGAGATTATTTGGCTGGTCATGTATCATTTTGAAGTTCAGTTTTAATGCAAATGTACCACATTGCATGCCAGCAAAGTCATTTAGATAGAACATGTTAAACTAACCTCAGTTGATTTGACTATGCCAGACAGCTGCCATGGCAATGCTACTAGATAACATCAACATGTCTACTTAGCTAATAGCCCTGGCTCAAACAAAAAACAAATCTAATGTAATTGTGCAAGTGAAAATGTGATTGATTTAATAGCAGATCTGGAAGCAGTTTGGAAATAAAACGCGGGTCTGAACAGGGCTAGTGTTAATACACTGTAAGCTGGCGAGAAGCATAAAAGGAAGGGTTGCATTACTTCATGATGCCATGATGAGAAACTCCCTTAACCTCCCTCCTCCACACTTTGAAAAATCCTACTTTAGCTGCACTGAGTAATGTGGCTGAAGGAAGTTATGTTAGTAAAGCTCACCCTAAACTGACATTCAGATATAGTAGCCCAATCTTTTATTAAATTATGCCAGGGGTGAATTTCCCCGTTCACATCATCTCTGAGGTCAGTCTGGCAGCAAAGGATGTAAGAAAAAAAAAAAGGCAGAAAGGAAATCTCTTCCTGAGGTCCTGATGACATCATATGTCAAACAGGAAAATGGGCAAGGGCGTACAGGAAGTGGGACCATGGAAACTACTGTCCACTGTAAGAGTGGATTACCGTTTCCACTCACAAGGGTCTTGGGTCAATCATGAGCAACAGCCGATTAAGCTGCCGATTAAGCCACACACACACACACACACACACACACACACACACACACACACACACACACACACACACACACACACACACACACACACACACACACACACACACACACACACACACACACACACACACACACACACACACACACACACACACACACACACACACACACAATTGGCGGGGGCAGCTTTTCCTTCCGTGCTGCCAGTGGAGTCCGAGCCTGTGCCAGGGAGACAAGGGCCGAGGGGGGAAGCTGCCATTCAACACTAAACTCTGAGAAAGAGTGCCTATCGTGCACACTGGGAAAACAATATGGATAACCGTCATTGGGAAAAAAGAAACTGAGAAAATGCTCTCATATGGGAAATTCATATTTAAGTTTGGCCATGTTTCGACATACAGTCAATTATCTTTTTGTATGACAAAGACCGTCTTATTCCGAGAGGTGGGCTCAACACAAAGACATTCTCTTATTACAGCTTGACATTTACTGACCATAAAATGACCTTCACTGGTGACCTTTGACTGATGGATGACATCACTAACGTATAGATATCTCCATAACACACAGCTGCCTTCAGAGTTAGAGAAAAGGGCTCTTTGTCTGTATGGCCATCAGTTTGCGCAGTGTCTTCAGTGGCATCATTATATGGTATATTATGTATGATAGGGGAGTGTGGAGGGATGTGATGTTATTATCTCTGGGAATAACCCGAGTCGTCATGGGAAACATTTTAGGCTCGTTTCCCATCAGGAGGCTCAGCGTCCAATCACAGCGGGCCTTGTTGTCGTGTCAACCGACCTCCAACCTATCGCCTCTGAACCTGCCATGGTGGAAAGCTTATCACGACTTCACCACTTCCTGCGCCACACACACACACACACACACACACACACACACACACACACACACACACACACACACACACACACACACACACACACACACACACACACACACACACACACACACACACACACACACACACACACACACACACACACACACACACACACACACACACACACACACACACACACACACACACACACACACACACACACATCACACACACACACACACACACACACACACACACACACACACACACACACACACACACACACACACACACACACACACACACACACACACACACACACACACAGAGAGAGAGAGCCTCCGGACCTTTTGTGTTGAAAGCTGCGGACTCAGCAGTTAGGCTCATGATACAGGAAAAAAAGCAGATTCTTTAAAGGCTTGTATATAAATGTATGGATGTGTGTGTGCATGCGTGTTTTTTTTACCTCCAATTGTGTGTCTTTAACCACTATTGAAATGTCAAGCCTGACACATAAAGCTGGTAAATCCCACAGGAAGTGAGTGTACTCATTTACAGGAACTGTGAAAGTCTAAAAAACCACTGCATTACTCACTAGACCCCATCTGCCTCATGTCAAAGGATACAACTGAAATGTTCTGCACGCACATGAAACTATTTATATTTTTGCAGCCATCCCGACAATAAGTCAGTAAATTCATTCAAATTAACAGATGTAAGTTAGAGGATGGTACTGAATAAGATATAATGATGACTATACTTATAATGTGTGCAATAATTGTTCAATTGTGCAATACTTAAATACTTATCAAATTCTAACATTAGTGTAAATTAAGTCTCTTACTATATCCTTGGATAAATAAAAAAATAACTTTGCTAGGGTAGATTAAATTAAATTTAGAAACTTGTGTGTGGAGGGATAAAATATGACTTCCTGCTTCAGTTCAATGACCACTCAGACGCTGCTTTTAATATTTAAGACCCTGAGTATGCAGGGATCACCAACTACATTTGTCCAAGGGCCGAAATGTAACCAATAGACACTATCGCGGGCCAGCGATTTTTATATAGCCCAGAATTTTATAAATAGTATTCAGATTACTTTTGGAATACTTTCTTTTTCCATAACAGATGGGTATGTTTTGGTGAACAGGAGACACTTATTTTACTCTTTGCATGGCTTATCAAGAACACAAACACAACATCTTGGTGTCATTCTGGACAGCTCCCTCATCTGCACCCCACATAAAAAACATCACCCGGACTGCATTCTTTGTACTGTCTTAAAACCTTTCCTTGGAATATGTTATGAATTGTAAGGTGTCCTTGGGTGCTTTGAAAGGCGCCCCTAAATAGAATTAATTATCATTATTATTATTATCTGAAACGATGTAATAACTTTAAAAAACGTTTTCCAGTCACTTGCCCCATGCATTCAGCAGCAGGCCATTCACTTTGATTTCATCCTGTTATTAAATGTCATAATTTCGACAATAAAGAAACGCTACATAAACGTTATCTTGCACATTTTATCTAACCATCTCCGTTTCTAACTTTCAATATATTTTAAGAGATCTCTCTCATCTGCGTGCGGGGGCGGGGCCTCACAGACACACTGCATCTCTCTCTGCAGCGCTGTGCAGTGTGCACACAGTTCTGCCGGTAATGAATATTACATTTTGTGAGGAAACTTTTCCACCAATAATTCCAATAAGTATTCCAAAATGTATTCACTTCAGGTTTACGAAAGTAACTGTAATCAGATTACTCGTTCTTCAAATGTAACGCCAGCTGAATACAGTTAGCCTACTTGATTTTTGTATTCTGATTACGTAACGCCGTTATGTATTCCGTTACAACCCAACCCTGCTTCTAGGCTACTGTCCCGCAGCTCCAGCCTCTCTGTTGGACTCTGTCGCAGCGGGGCTACTGCTGTGGTGCGGAGCGCATTAACCAGACTCTTCACAACGAAGGATCACTTCTTCTTCAAGGGAGGGAAGGTTTCGCAGTACGCAGTCTACTGTCCCGCAGCTGCTGCCTCTCTGTTGAACTCCGGTACTGCACCTTACTCACGAGACGTTGTAAACAAATAAATGGGTGGGGGGTAGGGGTGGGCGATACCACAAAATCTGGATTCGATCCGATACCAAGTATTTCAGGGCCAGTATCGCCGATACCGATACTTTTTTTTAATGAAAAGCGTCTTATGTACTTTCATATAGGGGAGAGCTGCATGACATGATTTTTGAGCTGAAATCATCATAAATAGACTAAATCTGAATTCATTTTCATGAATAAAGACAGGACAGTTTTTATAGACAAATACACGTTTTACTTTTGCTAATTTAAAGTGCAAACATGAAAAATAACAATACAAAGTGGCCAAAGTAGCGAACTGTCTTCTTGCACACATCACAGTTCGCTAAGTTTTAATTGCCAGTTGTGAAATTGCTCCACACAACGCTGCTCTTTCTCTCAGCCATCATGCGCGTGTGTGTGTTGCACTCGCGAGTCGCTGGCTGCTGCTGACTGCCCTGCTGGCTGCTGTCAGTCAGCTTGATAATCGGCGTTCAGGCAGGGAGCCTCGAGGAGAAGAGGACAGCAGTGGAGAGAGAAGAAAAGAGCATATACTTGTGTTCGTCTGCACATAGTTTTTTGAAGAAATTGACGAGTAGAGGAGACGAGAAAAAAAGTATAACAGTATCGATCCTATTGGCTCTAGTATCGATATTTTGAAACGTAACGTAATATCGGAGGTATCGATATTTTGGGATCGATCCGCCCACCCCTAGTGGGGGGCGAACGCAGTAACCACTCCGCCAACGCCACAGTCACCCCCGTCGTGCGGGCCGGATGAGAATGTCTGGCGGGCCGGATGTGGCCCGCGGGCCGCCAGTTGGTGGTCACTGATTTACAGCATGTAAATCAGAGTGATAGCATCCTCCTGACCTGTACTCCTACAATGTCTGACCCAACTCTTCTCCATTGTGATAATGAACCTCGAAAAACGCTGCCTTAGCTTTCTCTCTCACAGCTGCTTCCTGCTGGATTCGGTCCTCTCGACCTTCATTACCACACATGTTGAGAAGTAGGTCACTGCGTCTGATAGGAAGTGCCAGGTAGGACAGACTGACCACTTCCTGTTTTGGTTTCTAATTTTTTGGGATCATGATTTCTGGACCACAGCCCTGAACACATAGTCTGGGCGCGATGGACTACTAACAAACATTTATCTACATATTCTATAAAAATCTTGAGTTCGACCACCCATCTTCAACTATGAGGACAGACAAATGGTTTAAAGCTGCAATTGACTTACAAAGACACAGCCGCCACTACAAATAAATGTGTTCATTCTCACCCCAGGTTTGTTTTGTTCATTTACTGGTACTCAATGGGGGGGCTCTGGGAATAAAGAGGTAACTGTAGTCTAGGGAAACCTTCGAAAGCTAAAACAATTTAGTCCAAGATCAACATGACATTCTAAGTCTCTTGCGAATACAGAAATATATTTGAAAAGGAAGACACTTTTCCACAAGGCCATGTAACCCACCATGTTACATTCGGAACAATTGTTCACAATCACTCACTTGGGACTGACGTGCAGACCCACCAATATGACTACTGTGTTCTTTTGTCTTCCAAATCAGACCTTTCTTTGTATTGAAGTGCACTGTGAGTGAGTGCCCTCTCCATTATATGCACAAACTCAGATCCATGGACCACATTACCCAAGCTGCTACGGGGTTTTTAAATATTAAATGCTTCATAAAAGCATTTCATGAGAGGACAAATTCTCCAAAAACAGAGCTGCTACTGCAACTCATTTGTAAAGTAAATATAGTATATCCAAGCAAAATCATTTAAGACTGTTAGCGCTCTTAACATCTAAGAGACATGACTTTAGAGTGTAAACTCAGTCTTTTATCCTTGCACTTCAAACTTAACGAGAACAAGAATAACGACTGTCCACATGTTAACTTAAGATCTAAGGATGCTAACACTTGAGGACTTTCTGCTGGCTTCTCCAAAGCCCACAGGCTTCATACGTCCTCTGTCTGCCTCCACTCATCTCCTGTCAGCTTCTTTCTGCTCTGCTGCTTATTGAGAGACTGACACAGCCAGGTTTAAGCATTCACAGATGTGTGTTTCTACCAAGACTGGGCAAATGAGACCGGGCGTCAAGGATTGTTAAACTAACCTCAGCGCCTTGATCGGCAGGGGTTTAAAAATGAGTGTGCATGCACATGTGTATTATTAATATATATGTGTATGCAAGTGGATACAAAAAGTGTTTTTGTGTGTTTTAAGATGTCTCTGAGGGTAGTGGGATAGCTAAGTTGGATTAAACCCACGCAAATCCTGAGCCAAGATGTAGACAAGGCTCTTCTCTCATGTCACTGCTCTCCCTACACTCCTCCAGCCAGTTCTGCCCATTTAGAAGTCAAGCTCATATGTTGAGGATATTTATGAAACATTCTTCCCCTTTTTTTTTTTTATCCTTGTCAAAGCTGATGTCATCCAGGAGCGCCTTCCAGCTGGAGGAGTGCTGATTTTGCCAGAGCATTACGTTCTATTGTTACTTGCTGATTTCTGCTTGGGGTTCATTTTGGATCATGGCTTCAAAGGACCCTGGTGTGCTGTGTGTGTGTGTGTGTGTGTGTGTGTGTGTGTGTGTGTGTGTGTGTGTGTGTGTGTGTGTGTGTGTGTGTGTGTGTGTGTGTGTGTGTGTGTGTGTGTGTGTGTGTGTGTGTGTGTGTGTGTGTGTGAGAGATTACATTTTGGCTGTGCCAAGGTCTGCCTAGGCGCCACAACTACAGTCTTGCTGAATTTTATGAACCTAATCCTTTCCACGTTCATGATTTGGATCGTGTAGAAAGGTAAGGCTTGTTTGTGTCTGCATGTGTGCAAGTGTGTGTCAGTGTGTCTTTCCATACGTTTCCCAGAGGCAGCAGAGTTAGGCAGGGACCTGCTGGGCTGATAGAACCAGAGCCGCCAAATAAAAAAAAACAAAATAATTAACAGCCTCATTCCTGTTTCAAAGGCTAATCCTCTCTCTCGCTCTCTTTTTACACTCCCTCTACTTTCCTCTTGACCCAAATTCAATTTTACTTGGCTCCATGTAGCTTAGTGTAATGATGAGGGTTACGAAAATCATCTGGCGACTGCTGTCACGATGTCAGAGGAGTAGTGAAGAGTGTATGGCATTTTTTCACACACACACACACACGCACACACACACACACACACACGCTCGACTCCAAGCAATATGTTATTCATTAAAGGGAATCAGATTCTCCTCACTTCACTGCCTGCAGTGCAGAGAGGAGAAAAGTGAAAAAAGGAGCTTCATGGAGTCAAGGTTTATTTAAAGGTTGGTGCGCCTGCAGGATCCCCAGGCAATTATAGAAAGGATTTAAATTGCAAAAAGATGTAAGCATTCATGCTTTGCACTCATATCATGTTTTCATGCAGTTTGCTGGTTAAGCTAGTGTGTTTCGATTGACATGTGTGCACTCACTATGCAGTAGGCCACCAGGGCTCCCTGCACAAAGCCTGCCAGGACATCGGTCGGGTGGTGCTTGTGGTCGGAGACGCGTGACAGGCCGGTGTAAAAGGCCATCATCAACAGGGTGAACTGCAGCAGGGGGCGGAGGAGACGAGCGCCGCGCCAGGAAAACCTTGAATGGAGATAGAACTGTGAAGAGAGAGAGAGAGAGAGATATTGTTATTTATTTTGTCTTCATACAGAGTTCAATATGCAACATTTTTGTGTAACTTGTACATTTCCTCTCTGCGGGACTAATAAAGGTATTCTGATAACAAGCTCTGACATACAAACCCTTTAACTAAGAGTTCAAAAGATGCAAAGTTCCACATCATGTAACTGATGGTGCTGGGCTGGACACCTGCAGCATGTGTGTTAGTGTATTATTACTGTCTGAGAGGTCTAGACCAAATCCAAGTAGGCAGGCTGGCCAGAACCGCAGAAAAACCCTCTCTTCCACAACACACACACACTTGACTGCCTGAGACCCGGACATGATTCATGGTTTTACATCCCAGCTGTAAAAACAACACAACCACAGAGAGCCACTGGAACACACACACACACACACACACACACACACACACACACACACACACACACACACACACACACACACACACACACACACACACACACACACACACACACACACACACACACACACACACACACACACACACACACACACACACACCACACACACACACACACACACACACACACACACACACACACACACACACACACACACACACACACACACACACACACACACACACACACACACACACAACACACACACACACACACACACACACACACACACACACACACACACACACACACACACACATCACACACACACACACACACACACACCACACACACACCACACACACACACACACCACACTACACACACACACACACACACACACAACCCAACACATCCACACACACACACACACACACACACACACACACACACACACACACACACACACACACACACACACACACACACACACACACACAGTTTGGATGAACTGTCTACCCTCGATGAGAGTAAATAGAAGACAAAGCGGATGCACCTCCAACCCAGCCAGCCGCCATGAACCATCTCCTGGGTCGAGATAAAGACTGAGCAGAGTCAAAACAGGAACAAGTAGGTCCAAGGCCACTTACAGTCACTCCTAAAACTTCAAATACATTCACACCCCCTTTCTCTTTATATCCACATACACGTACAGTGGTGAGATCAGCACAGGTCCCTCAGACATCCTGTGTTTCAACACCACTCATACCCTCAATTACCGGTCCTTTACACCCAGAGACAGAGGGCTTAGGAGGGGCCGGCCTCAGCCAAGGTCTACCCAGACCACACCTCAAAGCCTGTGTTTTATAATCAGCTAAGCTAACAATACCTACAGACAGCCGCAGTGCCTCCCAGCAACCCCAGTCCACTACGAGCCCCTGAAGGTGTGGACGTAAAGCTCCCTCACACTTCCTCTACGACACTATCATTGTTCTTCTCCTTACGGAAGCAGAGGAAGCGATCCCTCCCATCCCTTACAGTTCTCTCCTCCCTGGCAGGGATGTTTAGACTTCAGGCTTCCTTCTCAGCGTTTCTCAGGTAACGGGCAAGGAGTACTGATAAGTACTTTTGTCTGACGTCCTGCAGTCATGAATGCAACATCCGAACAGCCTCCACACAACATCCTAAACCTCTCAGTTTAAGCAAACGTTGGTGGAGGTTGGAGGAGAAGGGCTCAGCCAAAAGAAAGAGTTACAACCTGCGTAATATGGCCATATCTGACTGAAGGGTAAACCCAAACAACCTGTTCATGAGCACATGACGTCATGTTAACCGATACAGACGGTACATGACCTTCTATAATCTTGAAATTGATTATTTTCCCCTCTATAATCTGTCCCAGACAAAAACAGACACCTATGACCCTAGCTGTCTTCCCATAAATTAGTTTTGTGTCTCTCAAATAGTTAGATCTGAGAAAACAACAATAAAACACAACAACAAAACGAGTCCCAGAAGATTCCCATGACAGATGGAGACAAGAGCGACACAAAGTCTGGTGGTTTCTAAAGGAATCCAGCTCATTCCAGTAAGATCTTCTCCCTCTCTCTTTCTCGCGCTGACTCAGTGTTCAATAAAAGAAAACACACAACAAAGTGCGAAAGAATGAGTTTGAGGGCTTGTTTTACACGCCAACCCCCTTCCCATGCCGGTTCACACCAGGCTGTGAGACAAAAGCATAGCTGTGGTTAAGACCACTTCACAAACAAACATATTGGTTGTTTTTTTACAAACAACATGTTATCCGCCTCAGTGACAGTAGGCTCTGAAGGCACAAATAACCCACAGAATGATCCCAGCTATTTGTATCTGGATTGTTTGTGTTCACATTAGACAAAACAAAAGATAGCTCAGTAGGCGAATGAATGCACACATAGGCTTCTTCTCCTTGGCTGTGGTGTATCTGTACAGCGTGCCGTGCTGTCTGCTGCAGTTATCTGTGTGCCGTCTTAGAAATGTAAGCACAAAACCACATCAGTCACACTCGCAGCACTTGGCAGGAAATGAAGTGCTTCAAAATCAAAGAGTGACAATTAGTAGATAACTGGGGGGCTGTGAGAGGGAGAATGAGGGTAAGGTGATAGCCAGTGTGGAAATGACACTTTCACCCAGTGAAAAAACAAGGGCCGATGGGAGGGAAAGCATCACAGAAAAATTATGCTTTTTTCTTTTTAAATCTAGTGCAGAAATTCCGATTTATTTTTAATTTGTCCAATATCTGATTTAGATTGCTGTGTCATTTAAAGTATCAATTTGACATTTTGAGGAATACACACATTTGCATTCATTTAAATGTTCTATGTCATGTATCCTCATCTATCAATTGAACTTGCAGTCATTATTTGTCCTTATATTATATTTATTTGGCTTCAGATTTAGCATCATGTGTTGTTGTGGACACATCACAAACACAAATATACTTTTTTAAGCACATCTCAACAGAGAGGGAGATTCTATAACTGAAAATGTGATGTCACATGACGTTCAGCTTGGAGTAAACAAAAAATGCCACAGTTTCCTTTTTCCACTAGGAATGCCTCAACTGTGGGCTTTGTTTCAGGATGGTTTAGTATTCCAAAACATCCACTACAAACCTAACATCCTCTCTTCTCTCTTTCTGTTGCGCTGTTTGCACCAACTTCCTCTGGCTGTGGTCTTGAGCTTGCCACAGCTGGAACATTGGTCTCTGACTAGTGTGTCACTCTGTGGTCTGGAAGCATCACATGTCCATTCCCTCTCTGCTTTTCCACTTGCTTTTAATTCATTTTTCCCCCTGGTCCAGAGTGCAGCTGTAGGTTCACCAAGAGGCTGGGAAATACCCACAGCAAGCTCTTAGTCCATGACAATACACTACAACACATCAGAACTTCAACTCTCAGCCCACCGTGAGAACCAAGGACACCAAGGTTGAGTCAGCCAGACCCAAAACATTGAATATTTTCCCCTTAGAGGAAGCGGGGGAGGATGATTGGGGCACTATGAGATGGCAATTCTCTGTGTATGTGTAATTAGAAATGCCTCCAGGATGCTAAGCCCTACCAGACACCCACAACAGGTGGAGTGAGAGGGAGAGACTGAGGGAAATGGGAGAGGACAGGAAGTGCAAACGCAGCTGCTCTGAATAAAACAGGTGGAGTGCATCCATCCAACTCTCAGAGGAGAAAAAAAGGAGAATAAAACTCTTTATAAACCCAGTGAGGAGAAGTGGATAAGAACAATGCCTTGCTTTTTCTTCAGGCGTTAAATCCCTAAATCACTGCCCTGCCTTCTTTCCATAACTCCCTCCACAATCTGTAAGCCACTGTTTCTGCTGCTCTAAGCATGTGTGTGCTTGCAAGAATGTGAGTGTGTTGTGATGCATGTGGAATAGATTTGAATAGTTACTTACAGCCAGGTAGAGCATGGTAAACATTGAAAATGAGGCATGTCCTGAGAAGAAGGATTTTCTGTTGAGAGAAAGATATCTTTAGTTAGTTTTTCCAATTCTAGGAGTATTTTTCAATACACAATAAATAATGTATGTTGTGTATGTATTTGGTGTTAACACAAACCTGGCCTCCTGTACATCGCTCTCGTCACCAGTGCAGGTATAGTTGGTGATGTATCCCATAGAACAATCGATGGTGGAGAAATCTGGTTTACAAACATCTAAGAAGTGTGGCCTCATACGGCCCACTGACACCTTGGCAATGTCTGTAAATGACTGGCTGACGGCACATCCAAAGAGAAACACGCCCATCTGCAAGACCGCACAATAATATTAGACAAGATATCAATGTAGCTGTCTATAACTGATTCCGAGCTAAGCCTTGTTGGAAGGACATGTGAGATTGTCTGTTCTTACATGGTACATGTGCAGTTTACTGTGATAGCGGTGGTGTTTACAGCTAGTTTATAATCATTTCTGTACAAATGTGTCCTTGATTTTAGACAGTGGTAGACATGAGCAATTTCAACAGTCAGTGTTGCTTTAATGACAGCTATTGCTAACAAATTCCTGTAAAAAAAACAAAAAACTGTAACAAGCAGGCTAATTAAGCTAATGTTAGCACCTCAAATTGTTTGGAAACTATCTGGCAGATTTGTTCATGCTTCAAGCTTAGACATTTTAACATTGTAAGGTTCAGTAAAAGGTGTTTATTAAAATAGATTTAAAAAGCACAATTCTTCATGGCTGACCTGCTTGTAGAGGGCTGCGACGTAGGGATTTCCGACAAAAGACTTGGTTCCCTCATGAAGTTGGTGAATCCTGAAGCATTCTCCAATAACAATCTAAAAGAAAGGATCGTTTTTAGATAAAAACAAACGGCACAGATCACAAACACAAGAACAATTCTAGGTTTTTTAATGTCTGAATCTTATAGTTTTACAGTAGGTTTACATACTTATCACCATGCATTAAACATGAACAAGTTTGAGTGTTTATTCAGCAGGAAAATCTAATTTCATTCCAGGGTGAAGTCACAGATTGAAGGGATGTGGAAAGGACAGACAGGGAGACAGAATGAGTGATTCACACAAACAAGTAGAATGAGCATGGCCTGCCTTTCCCTCAGGCAGTTTTGATGTGATATGAAAGTATTAATGAGTGGTTATCAATGCTCAATGATATGCTTTTTACGTGGGATATGAAGGATAATGACACAGTGAAGGCAAAGGAAAAGTAAAACATGAAGACTAGACTGGGTTAATATCTCAGTCCGATTGACCTGACTTTGATAAAAAAAAAGAGGATTTATTTCAGGGCAATGGTCTGCTTTAAGGCTTAAGTTGAGTAGGCTAACCTGAATCTTGTGGTATTCAAGCCAGAAGGTTTTAAGTAGTGTTGGGGCCCAAGGTAAGACCTCCTCTACACTGAGGGGGCTTACACCAAGCCAACCCCCAGGGCACGTAGATGTCAATCATATCTGTACCACCTGGGGTATCTGACTGACGGACGGCTGCTCTCCACCGCTAACCACATCTCCCTTTCCTTCTCCTTCCCACACAAGGCTCCAGTCTTCGGCCTACATTCTCTCAGGAAAATATTTACCTGCCTATCTCTAAGCCAGCTGACACTCAGTGCTCTTAATGCAAATAGCATTAAGACTTTTAATGTGTACACATCTGCATGATCAGCCTTTTCCCAGGCACCCTACCAAGTTAATACAGATACATAATGTTTGCGTATTTACATCTATTGTTTGTGTGCTGTTAGGTTTGATAAACACATTTATCCTGCCTATTGGGTGGTCAGCTGGCAGGCTTAGAGCCAGAAGAAACAAACATAGTGTCGCATTAGTGTGTGTGTGTGTGTGTGTGTGTGTGTGTGTGTGTGTGTGTGTGTGTGTGTGTGTGTGTGTGTGTGTGTGCTATTGTCAATGGATTGTTTTTGATCTAAGCTTGAGATTAAAACTACAGGAGGCTGATACAGGACAGAGAAGTTTATTTGGGTTGTCGCCATTTGCATTCAAACCTCTCCGCCCCTTCTTCATCTCCCTGGCTTGGGTTATTGGTATGTGTCGAGTTTATCTTAGTGCAGACAGAGCCTGTCATAAATACTGCAGAACTTTCTGATCAGAGGAGAGGGCTCAATAGACGCCTGGAGGGTATATTTTGTTCGGCGATAGATCTGCTTATTGATCTCTATCTAGCTATAGCTAACTCTGCTTTTCACAGTTGAAACGTGGCCTTTTAGACATTGATATGTCTGACCAGTAGGACTGTTGGGATTTCCCTTGTAGCGAAGATAAACAAGAGACCCAACTGGAATCCGCTACCAATTTATGTATATGTGTGCATATCTGTGTGTGTGCCTGCATGAGTGAGCGTGCATGTGTGGTGAAGGAATGGTGTCGGCATGGCAGTAGACGCCACTAATGAAACACAGCTGTGTGAGACACGCCAGCTTTGCCCACACGTGAACATGTGAGGGAGCTAACTAACACAGTCTCCTGGTTCCAATAAGCAGAACAGCTGAGGTGGTAAAGCGTGTGTGTGTGTGTGTGTGCCCACCAAGCTGATGGCGAAGAGATGGCGAGGAGATGGCGGCACAGCGACGTCTTAGTCTGGGAACTTATGAGGGGGCTGTGCCACAAAGAGGCTGGGGGCTGTAAAGATCATCTAGCCTGACCACGTGGCACTAATTGACGTACACATACCGCACCAAATGTCATTATAACATGTTTCCACTCACCCTGACCCCCCCTCTAATTTGCTGGCACTAGACTAGGGCCATTCCCTCTTTAGAGCAGGAGTCAATGATGGGAATGAGGACTTCATGCTGTTTTCTAACTGGTGAGATGCCTCAGGCCATCAGTGAGGCACTGCAGGCATGGGAGAGAGCACTGACACATTCACCCAGGGTGATGTGCAGGGCAGAAAGGGCATGGTGTCACTGCGCAGGGATACGAGTCGGAGGTTTGGGAATGGACCAAAGGCTAGTAAAATCTCTTTGGTCATTGGCATGCATGTGTCAACCCAAACTTGGGGGGCCTCTCGCCACCACTAACTTGCTTAGAGAAGTCATTAAACAGACCATTACAAATGGTTTGGATGAGGCGAAGCTGATACGGAAGAATAAAGTATGATGAAGAAAACGTAGGATGAAAGGGGTAGGACATATAGAGAACATTTAAAGCAAAAGACTGGAGTTTTTTGGGAAAATGTTGCATGATAGAAATCACTCAAACTTCTCAAATAAGGGGTTATGTTAGTGAGACTAATCTATTGGAGTAAGGTAACCAAGATTTGAAAAGAAGTGACTTTGGAGTACAAGCAGTAAACAAAGGGAGTTGTAAAGGTCGACTTACAGAGAAGATGGCAATAAGAATGCCAACACCACAAAGCACGGCATCGCTAATGGTGTCTCCCTCTTTTCGGGGGAAGCGGATGGACTCGTCCGAACAGTAAAACCCGCGCTGGTACGGCTTTATGGTGCTAGTCTCAATGATCAGGAAAGGCAGGCTAGCTACAAAAGACACATGAAAGAGGGGAGCAAAGAGAGAGAACGACAGAAAGAGAGAGAGAGAGAGAGAGCATAAAAGCACCAGGTCAGTGACACAGACATAAACGGAGGAGAAACAGGGGGGGCACAAGGAGCACACAAAACCGGGGGATCATGGGATAAGGCAAAAAAGGGTGCTGCTTAAGGTTTTCATGTATGGTCATCTGAGAGTGATGAATTTGTAAAATCAGAAGACTGACACCATAAATGATAAGCTATGATTTAAGAGTATTTTTCTTCTCAACCACCACCATGAACCGTCAGCCATCCCCGTTTCTGCCTTCAATGTTCCCCAACACCGAGTGCTCTTTGTGTGTGGGACTTACGGACACCGAGGGCAGTGTCAACCCAACGACAGTGAGCACTGAGGAGGACACGGTGCTCTTCTTGTAGGAGTATCTCAGGCTGGAGTCACTGCAGTAGAAACCCCTCTGGTACGGGCGCACAGAGGTACGATGCAGGACCAGGCTGGGCAGCATAGCTACACATACACACATTAATGAACGGATGTATGAACCCACGCACACAATTAAAACATGGAATCATATGGCCTCATACAGATAACTCCACTTACCTGTAAGCTGAAAAGAAATCCCATTAAAAACACACTTTAACAATCCTTCACAGGTGTCTGGATGCTAACATAATCAGGTTGTTTACTCAGCACACGCCCTCCTGCTGCCTCTGTTGACAGTGTGACACACGGCTATAGAGAATTGAGGGTGATTCTTTAGCATTAGGAGACCCCTCCTGACAGGGCAAATACAGATTGACATTCAAGACTAGGGGTCCATTATTGGACACAAAGGAAACCTTCCAACATGGGTACTTGGTCAATACTACCAGAACTTTAGTGTTATAGATTGCAGGGAAAGAGAGTGCCATTCTAGTTAGAGTGTTGTTGTTGATAGAAACAGCTTAGCATAGAGGCTGACAAAAATATAGCTAGCCTGGTAATAAAATCCAGGTTTGGATGTATGAAAGAAGGAACATTTAATGTTAAAGCAAGATGTTATTACCTTTGGAGTAAGCCAGGCTAGCTGTTTTACCCTGCTTCAAGTCTTGTGCTAAGCTAAGCTAACTGGAGTCGAGCAGTGGCCACATATTTTCCATACAACTAGAGTGATATCAATCTCCTTTTTATTCCCTATAATAAAAAAACATATTTCACAAAATGACAAACAACTACTTTAACAACAGCCTTCATGAGGATCTGAAAGAGCTTGTCCAATGACCTCAACAACAAATACACAACCTGAGAGCAGTGCTAGATGTTCAATGAACTCTAAAATACAAATCTCCAAATTAAAGTACTACAGGCATGCAAACTCTGGTTGACACTGTCCTTTAAAATGTGTGAATACCAAGAAAAACATAACTAAGCCCACCCAACTCTGGAACATTTTTCGCACAAGAGCATGTTTGGTGTGTGTACGTCTGACTGTAGTAGCTCATAAATAGAGTGGGCTGAAGACATGGAGGCGTCCTGAAGACCCACACACAGACACACCAACATATACATTCATCTGCAGACTGCACAGAAACTACTCCCACATGTGGTTTGTGTGGTTAGCTCACATCACAGGGATTTTTTGACATTTGGGTCAAAGTCAGAACTCTACTCATGAATGTTTCTAATGCGGCTGAGAACCGCGGCTCTTGTCTCACTAGTGATGGGAGAAGGAGCTCATGTTACTGGTCTGTCCTGAACAACACAGCAATCATCGGTAACCATTCACACGAGACCTCAAAACACACTTTCTTATGCATGCTACCCACTCGAGGCTCCCACAGGTGTGACATCTGCCCTCACTTGAAATAAGAAAGTGTGGTCTCGGGTGCCAATGAGTCCATGTCTACACCAATATGGCCAAATAGCCATTTTTCTTCATTTTCTCCTTCTTTTTGCATATATGTGGTTTAATATATGTGGTGGTGGTGGTGGTTTTTGACCATAGGCAATTATCATTTTGAAAGCTGTCTCAAAAAAGTGATGCTTTTTTTTGGAGGGTTTGAGGTCAAGAATGAACTTTACAACTCAACTTTTAACACACACAAGGTGTCCTTGAACATAAGTGCCTTCAGATTTGTATGTAATTACAATGTTACATTTCCATGAACACTAAGGTTACTCCAACTGCTGATTCACACGATACATTTAAAGCTCCAGAACAAAGGCTTAATTGACTTTGAGGTGAGAACGTTTTGTCAACTGGTGATTTAAGAATCATCTTAGTAAAAACAACTTGAGAATTTAGAAGCTTCTTTTCATCTGTACTAAACAATACTTCCAAACAGCAGAGAGCCACTTAAAAAGCTTAAAGAGTTTTAAGCATTTTTCTATTGTTTTGAAGTTTCAGTGTAATAGAAACAGACTGTCTCTCTCTCTCTCTCTCCAGGGGTTGGCAGAGGGCAGCAGATGGGCCGGTCACAGAGGCAGACACCTGCACAAACATGGTGCCGTGCCAGGGCTGGACAGGCTGCTGGAGGGCCACACAGGGCCAGGCTCAGTGGTGTCTGAGAACCACACAACAGGCAGGGTTAGCTCTGGGTGAGCCTGTTCACACAGAATTACGTGGGCAACGGGTGTTTTGTCTTTTTGCTTAATGCCCCTGTGAAATTGGGTACAGTCAACACCTTGAAAACCAAGGGAACACCAATGCATTAAGTCCATGTAAAAAATGCTTTCTGTTGGGTAAACACACACTTTTTTTTCTGAAATAGAAAAATGCTTTCTTCCACGTCAATCTCTCTTTCTCTCATTGCTCTGCTTTTCCAATTTGTACTCTTTTTCCTTCCCTCCGTCCCTCCACTCTGTCCTACTTGTGGAGGGGGGATTCACATGCTAATGAGGAGAAGTGAAAGGAGGTCATGGGCTTACAGACATGGGAAACACACACACATACACACACACAAAAACGTGTGCTTAAACCCTAAACCGATCGAAAAACAGCACCTCAACACTATCTATTGAGAGTGAAAGAAAGCCTCTCTGTCCGCACACCGCCCAGCCTTGAAATGCCAAGCTGTTTTGTGCTGCCCCCCCCCATGCAATCTCCCTGAAAACATCCTGGTATGTGGGCATACCACATTTAGCACATGAACATCTCAGCACAAAGTTACCCCAACTCTACAGACCGTCTGAGCCTAGTCTCCTGCAATCAGTGTTGAGAAGAAATATGACCTGTTTAATGGCAATAGGACAAAGAGCGGGTGACCTTCACAGGGTCTGCTGACCCAGAGAGAGAGGAAAGGGAGTGTCAGAAAGATGGAGAGATAAAAAACAGAAAGGGGAGAAGAGAAAGAGGTGGGTTGGGCTCTTGGCAAAGGACTGTGGTGTGTCAGTGAATTAAAAACAACTATTTTACAAGATAAGATCATTCAGTGACACTAAGAAGGGGAAAGCAGCTGCACTTTTGACACAGAACCTAAATTAAACGTTTTATATCCATTGGATCTATCGTCTTCTAACTATTTTCACCAGTTGTTTTGATTGTTTTGTCTTGCTGGAGCGGTAGTGAGTTCTGAGCTTTTAGAGCCAACAAGCCTTATGAGCCTTCAACGCCCTTAGCTGCTTTTCAAAGGCACAAACAGGCATCTGAGAATAATTTAAGGCAAAAGATAAATCAATTTAGAGAAGGAGAGAGGGGGGAGCAATAGAAAGTATGAAGAATGCAACAGGCGGAAAAAACACGTGGGTGGCTTGGCGAGTTTGAGGAACAGTTCTATTTGTCTTATCAGATCCTGTCATGCATTTCTCTCTTTCAGTCTACGAGGAGAACCGTTGCAGACCACTAAACACTACTTACCACAGGTCAGAGAGAGAGAGAGAGAGAGAGAGGGAGAGGGAGAGGAGAGAGGGAGAGAGAGAGAGAGAGAGGGGAGAGGGAGAGGGAGAGAGAGAGAGAGGAGGGGAGAGGGGGAGAGAGAGAGAGAGAGAGGGAGAGGGGGAGAGGGGGAGAGGGGGAGAAGGGGGAGAGGGGAGAGGGGGAGAGAGATAGAGAGAGAGGTATTTATTTGGCTGATGCAGAGGTCATGCCGGTGCTTTATGTGCATGTGCGTGTACTGTACTTATTTTCCATCCGTAAATCCACTTACAACTTCACGCTCCACTGCCTGCTAGAATTTATGGAACAAAAATAATGTTTATATATGGTTTGCTATGCACTGCATATGTATTTACGTTTGATTGTATGTAGCTTGGTATGTATGTATGTATGTATGTATGTATGTATGTATGTATGTATGTATGTATGTATGTATGTGTGAGTGTGCATGCACCAGTTGTTTGTGTGACAGAGATTATCCAGCAAGCACTCGTTTGATTGGCTTAGGAGTTACATTTGGTATTGCGAGTTAGCTAATAGATTAGCAGGGCTAACACCATGAAGTCTGAGTTTTACACTTCACGCAGAAAAACCGTGTGTTTCTTTATCAGCTTTCTATTTCGTAAGAATTTGTTTTTTTAATGCATCTTAACAGAGTTACTTGATATCCGTTTCTTTGTCCTGCGTGGTTAAGGATAATCAATCTATTATTTCCCCTCATCTTAATACCAACTGTACTTCAGAGAATGACACAATGGTTATTCTTAAGGCAGCTTATCTTCTTTGACGTTCAAAAGGTTAATTCCCTTTGACATTGCACTAATTTCTCCATAGAGCTACACCTGCGTATCTGCTGAGACTGTAGTGGCAAGCTTCTCCCATGACTCTCTCTCCTCTCTGGCTCTCTATTGACATTTTAATGGGCTTCATGGCTCTCGGGGACAGAATTAGAAAGATATCGTGATTATGGTGAGTGAGCTGGAGCGTCAGCAGTCAGAGTGAGAGGTGAATGGGAGGCGGAGCGGTGTAGAGGAAGGGGTATTGTAGCCTGCTCTAATGGAGGATTTCCTCCTCCTGTCTCTCAAGCCCCTCATGTGACCCGTCCTAAAGAAGTGGGTCCAAGAATTCAGAGGAAGG